GGGGGGGGGGTGGATGGACCTGTTGTAACTGAATAGCCGTTCAGTGACCGGTCGTCTCTCCAGGATTACCTCTCAAGAAAGGGCCACTAAAGGGTCTTTCTAACCACCCCTGCTCCTCCCTTCTGTGAGCCCACCCTGAGGAAGGGGCTTCCCGACTGCAGCTGCTGCTTCGCCCGGCCAGCGCCCCGCCCTGCCCAGAAAGGCCGTTGGGCGGCCCCCCCTCCCTCCGGAAGCAGCCCCACGGCCCCCGGGAACCGGAGAGAGGCCAAGGCAGCTGCTGGGCTGCCTGTCCCTGCCCCCTCCCTGCTCAGGAGGGCAGTCCTCGACTTATAGCAGCTCACTTAGTGACCGTTTGAAGGGACAATAGCAGTGGGAAAAGGGAGTGGTGGTGGCGCTTTTCTCCCTCACCCTCATCTCGGGACCCTCCTCCTGGTCCCACCACCCACCCTGGGCCCTTGGCAAGTCCCTCCTCCTACTCAGGGCGGCTGCAGCGTCCAGGGCTCACATGGTCGCCAGTTGGGACTTTCGGACAAGCCAAGTGGATGGGGAAGCCGGATTCACTTAACGACCGGGCTACTAACTCAACAACTGCAGTGATTCACTTAACAGCGGTGGCAAGGAAGGTCGTCAGATGGGGCCAAACCCACTTAAGCACTGGCTCACTTAGCAACAGAGGTTTTGTGCTCAATTATGGTTGTAAGTGAAGGCGTCCCTGTGCTTTCCAACGGCCTTCTGGCCTTCACCTGTTCTGGTGCAGCAGCTGCCGGAGTTGCCCTTGGTGAGGTGGGAGACGCCAGGAATCGGGTTCACGGGTAAATGAACCAGAGGGGACGGTAGAGGTGGCCTTCCCAGACCCCAGGGCCAAGGGAGGAGGGCTGGGCAGTGGGGACGTTACCTGGGTCAGGAGAGCCTCCAGGGCTGCCTTGGGCCGGCATCCCCCTCCGATTGGCCTCAGCTGCCTTCTCCGGGGGGCTCCCAGGGTCCTCTCGGCAGGCAGAGCCACCAGGCCCACCTCCTCCGTCCAGTTCTCCACGCTGCAGCCGATGGCCAGGAGCCTCCTGCTCAAGCGGACAGAGGGGGCGGGCAGACTCCGGCCGGGGGTCCCTTGCGGCAGCCGGCCTGTCTTCCGGCCACGGCACGGCCACGTCCAGAAATATCCCCGGGCGTTCATCGGAGGCATAGTACCAGTCGGTTTCCAAGAGGCAGCTAGAGCCTTCAGAGCAGCTGTCCAGCGCTTGGTCCGAATTGCTCCAGTGTGGACTGGGAGAAGGTTCGTAGCTTTGGGAACTGGCGGTGATGTCCAAGGAGGAAGGGGTGTCCCACTCCTCTTCCCAAGGCCCCTCCACCAGTGCTGCATTTAGCGACTCGGCAGGAGAGCTGCAACCCGAGTCCCCCAGCGCTGAGCCCACCTCCATGGGGAAGGGCTCCTCCTCGAAGTAGTAGAAGCCTCCCTGCCCGGGGGCCCCTGAGCCTTTGCTCTCTTCCTTGGTGGAGGAGCCGGAGGCGGCTGACCGGCCTCCAGGGGACACAGGTGCATCTTCAGAGATGCGGGCACCCTCCGCTTCCTCCCCTTTGGGTGAGCCAGGCCCATCACCGCCCGGGCTTCCCCTGGGGCCTCCTGCGCCCCCCCCTTCCGACTGGCAGCCGATCCCCTTTGCGGCTGCAGTTTCTGAAGACGGAGCTTCTTCGGCTTCCCCCCTTTCAGGTGCATCGGAGTCAACGTTGCTTTTAAAGTAATTTCTCACTATCTGAGCGAGAGCTTCTCCGTTTCTTTCCGTGGGGTCGGAGCACAGAGGGACTCGGTTCCTGCACTGATCCAGGAAATTCTCTATTGTTTTGCCAAATTGCTCGACGCTCTCCCTCAGATGAGGAGGAGGAGGAGGCGCCACAGGAGATGCCGCTGGGTCACTCCCAGGGCCCCGAACAGAAGCCAAATCCTCCCGGAAGAGCTTCTTTGGGTGACAGGCAGCGCCTTCCAAATCCAAGTCCCCGTTTTGAGGTCTTTTCCTAGGAGGAGAGCGGTTTGGTTTCTCTTCTTCGCAGGGCTCCGAGCACCCGAAGCCTCCTCTGTGCCCGGCAGAGGCCTCTGGGTCCTTGCCCAGCCGGCAGGCACTTTCTGGGGCCGGCAGCCTGTTGGCGTCCTCAGGCACCATCCTGGCCTTCTGAGCGTATCCACCTTTCCCTGACTGGGGACTGCTGGACGCCTCTCTTGCCGGAGGCCCTTTAACGGCGTCTCCAAGAGGTGAAGCCACAGTTACCGTGCCTGGCTGCCCAGGAAGCCTGCCAGCCACAGGCCCGCTCCCTTGGACCAAGTCCAGACTGGCATCTTCTGGGAAGCCCTTCCAGGCAACCCTGCCGTCTTCTGCTGGTTCTGAAGCGGAGTCCAAAGGGGGCTTTTCAGGCTGACCGGCCAGGTTGACAGGATCCGGCTCCATCTCCTCCCCACCTGCTTCCACCGGTGCTTCGGATGCTCTTTTCCGGCTCTTTCCTGAATGGGGGGGCTCTTCGGCCTCTGTCCCTGCGGTGGAAGACGCAGCCCCCCTTCCAGGACTGCCTTGGTCACAACGGGAGGAGGGTTGGCCCTCCGGGCTCATCTCCAGGGTCATCTCCGTGCCCTTCGGTGGCCCAGCCCTGGTCTCTGGCACGGCCAGGTCAGCTGGTCTTCGGGTGGCTGATTCCTCAGTCGGTTCCCTAAAGGCTTCCCTGCTCTCGGTCGCATTAGCTGCCTGTTCAGCTGGGTCCAACCGGGAGGCGTCCCTTCCTCCATGAAGATCATCCGTCTTGGAAGGACCCAACTGGCCCGGCTCTCCTTTTTCCGCTTCAGGCGCAGGAACCTGACCACGGAGCCCATCATCCCCATCAGGCAACTGCAGGGCCCCATCAGAGTTGTCCATTGGCTCCACTGGGAGGTTGACAGCAACATCCCCAGGCTGTAGAAGGCCAACGCTTGGAAGGGGGAGCCCAGGAGGGCTGCCTCCTGCCTTGGCCATCTGGGCAGAACCACCCCTCTCCTCAGGAAGGAGGACATCTGGCCCAGGTTCTCCTGGAACAGGCAGGCTGATCCGTTCAACAGGGGCTTCTGGTTCCTCCGAAGCTCTGTCTCGGATCAGAGGGTCTTCCAGACGAAGCAACCTTCCCCCAACATCGGCTCCTTGGGATGCCCCTTCCAAACAGGTTTCCAGTCTCTCAGGCTCAACAGTATTAGGATTCGGTTCTTGGAGATCAACCACACAGGAAGAACCACTGGAGAATGCACTACCAGGCCCATTCAACGACCCCACCTGCCTAGGACTTGGATCCAAATCCCTCTTGGTGACAGCCGAAGGAGCGTTTGCCACAGGACTTGCCTCTCCCTCCTCCTCCTCCTCCTCCTCTCCCATGGTGGTCTTCACTCCGCCTTCTTCATTCAGACCTGTAAACCGTTCATCCTTGGTGACATACTGACAACTCAAAAGGTGGCTACTCTCAGACACCGATCTCTCTCCTGCTTCATGTTGGCTGTTCAAAGAAGGTAGTTGTGTGCCCGCAAGTGAACAGTCCCCTAAGTGGGGAATTCTCCCCTCTTCAAGGCCCCCTCTAGAGGAATCCCCTTGTCTACCTGCCGAGCCCCAAAAGGACTGCTCTGGGCTGGGGCTTCTCGCGAGGGAGGCATCCGCAGCAGCAGAAGAGCCCTCCGCTTCCTCCTGCCCTACAAGGCACGTGGGGTCTTTCTCCAGGCCACCCTCAGCCTCTCGGTGCTGCTTGGCTGCATCTTCGTTGGCGGCTGCTGCTGCTGCTGAGGGGCTGATTGTGCTTCTCCTCCACTCCGATTCTTCCTCCCTGGGTGGATCCTTGGAGTCACCCTGAAGTTGTCCCTCACTGCCACTTTTGTAACTGGGTGGTCCCCCTCCAGGCAGCCCAACCACGGCAACACCAGTCACTCCCAGGGAAGAATCGTGGCTTTCACTCGCCTCATCTCCATCCTGTAGCCGGGAATCAGCCGCCACCTCACTCGAGTTGTTGCTGGACTCGGCACTTCTGGGGGTCTCAGGTTCCCATTTTCCCTCCATCACAGGCCCTTCCCCCCCTTGATCTTCAAAGAGGATCCTGTTGCTCTGGAAGAGGCCTTGCTCAGAAATCACTTCGCCCAAATTCTCGGGAGGTTCGGGAACTGAAGTTTCCAAGGCCCCTGCGAGAACCTTGTTTCCCCCAAAAAAGGGCCTTGCTTGCAGCAAATCTGCTCCTTCAGGAGGCTCCGGCTGGTCTTTGGAATGGAGGTTTCTGTCTGCTGTGTCAGAAGCTCCCCTCCAGTCCTTGGGCTTTTCTCCTTGGCAGAATCTGCCCTTGGATTGCTCGCCAAGGACCAGGGTCTCCGGCTGTTTCTGCAGCAGCATCTCCCTGGCCTCCCAGGCCTTTGAGTCAGCGCCCTCAGCGCCCGGCTCCTGGCTTGTATCCAGGGCCTTGAAAGACTCTGCTGCTGCTACTTCCATCTCTCCAGGCTTCCCTCCATCAGTCCGCCTTCCCACTTCTGCACAAAGGTCCACCATGCTGGCCTTCTCGCAAACGCCTTCAGCGTCTGCTGGAATCGCAGAACTCATCGCTGGCTCAAGTTCTCTACCACCAAGATGGCCATCCAGGCCTTCTAAGCCCTCACCTGTGGGAGGTTCCATTTCCACCGCTTCACTGGCTGCAGCCTTTTGTGGAGAAGCCACTGTGAGGTCCACACCACCACGCGATGAATGCCCTGAAGGCAAAAGTGGGTTTCTCCTCTCAGAGTCCAACGTCTCCTGGCTCAAGATTTGGGTGGAAGAATCGTTCATCGGCTCTTCCCCAGGAGGAAAATGGATCTCAGCCGTTCTCTTGGCGGAGTCATGTTGCTGAATGTGCCCCAGCTCAGAAACCTGGCTTTCCGCAGAGGGACCGACTGCCCCGCTTTCCGCTCCCTCTGCCACTTCTGCTTCTGCGGAGGAGAAAGAGGCCTCCGCTGGGTGCTTCTCCATCAGGTTCTCTTCGCGCTCCTCCACGGAGTCCCTCCTTACCTGAGCACGGCTCCCGGCCAGTTCAGCCACTTCCATTTCTTCCACTGGGCTCTCTGCCTCTGAAGCAAACGATTCCCCCAGACAAGCGGTGTCTTCCATGCTTGGGCAAAGATCCACCTGGGCCTGTTCCTCACCCGCTTCGCTAAGAGCTGGAGACTCTGGGCCAGAAACAGACCGAGCACAACCAGACTCGCTTTCCGTCTCCGTGGGAAAGGCGGGCGTGAGCTGCAGCGTTTCCTCCCAGGGCCCAGAGGCCTCTGCTGCTTTTGGGGAGCCATCGCGATCAGCCGCTTCAGATGCCTCTGAACAGGTGGGGCCGGGAAGGAGCGGAGGCACGCAGCCTCCCTCGGGATCACTTCCGGCAGCCTCGTGTGGAGGCAACCCTTGTGGAGGAGGCGTGTCACACTCCACGGTACTCTCACTGCTGCTGCTGCTGCGAGAAACGGAGTCGCCGGATTCTGGACTTTCCGGAGGAGACCCAGTGGCCGCAAAAGAGTTCTCGTCGGGAAGTGTGTAATCTGGTGAAGCGGAACGGAGAACCTGGGAGGCCCGTCTGCACGGAGCACTTAATGGAGGACGAGGTGAGGAAGGAAAGCTGCTTTTCTCGGATGCCTTCTCAGCCGTAAGTGGGGAAGAGGCGGAAAGCGCTGGGTTTGGTGGTGGGGCCAGAGCATCCTGGGGGCCATGCTGTGTGACAGAGCTTGCCAGAGGGGCCTGGCCTGGCAGCACCCCTGCTAGTGCCATCTGAGGAGGAGAAACGTTGCCCGCAAGTGCCAAGTTCGGGTTGCCTGGAGGTGAAACTCCTGCAGAAACCAAGTCGGGACCCTGCAGGAAAAAAGAAAACAGAGAGATCAGCAACGAACGCCCTCCACCTCTTCCGGATCTTCAGGGCAAAGGGAGGCCTCCTACCTAGGAGTCCCCAAATTTGTCACGCTCTCCTTCGCCTGCCAAATTAGCACCTTTTGCACGGGCTGCAACCGCAGCTCTCAGGCTCAGCCCCACCAGGTGGCTACTTCGGAAAGGATCCCACCCGCCCGGCCTCCTACACCGGGGGCTCCAACCTTGGCCCCTTTAAGCCTGGAGGACTTCAACTCCCAGAACTCCAGCTCCAAGGTTGGAGACCCCTGAATCAAGATGAATGGCCTCCAACTCAGCATGCTGGCTGGGGAATTCTGGGAGATGAAGTCCTCCGGGCTTAAGGTTGCCAGGGCGGGAGACCCCTGTCCTACACGGGTGGAACTCCACTTCCCACACTTAACAGACAACATTAATGCCCATCAACATTCGAGAAGTGTTGGAGATGGAGGTCCACGCCTAGACTATGATTCTATCCTAATTCTACTGTCAAGGGGGAAGGAATTTGCGAAAGAATAACAGAGTTGGAAGGGGACCTTGGAGACCCCTTGGAGACTCTGCTAGTCCGGGGGTCTCCAACCTTTCGGGGCGGGGGGGAGGGGATGGTTTGGCGCAAGCAGCAGGCGAGTGCACAGCTCCATTTGCGCAAGTGGCAGGGCACACACGGCCACCGCTCCCACAAATGGGGCTGCGTGTGCTCAGCTGCACACACGCTCCCCGGCGGCTTCTGCAGCCCAGTTCTGAACAGTAGTGGGCTGCAGCCCTTGGGGTTGGGGACCCCTGTTCTAGTCCAACCTCTGCTCAAGTAGCAGGAGAGCCGACACCATTCCGGACAAACGGTTGTCAAATCTCTTCTTGAAAACTTCCAGCATTGCAGAGCATTCAAAACTTCTGGAGGTGAGTTGTTCCACTGGTTAATTGTTCTCAGGGTCAGAAAATTCCTTCTTAGTTCCTTGAGGAGTTTCCATCCGTTGCTTCTTCTCCTGCCTTCTGGTGCTTTGGGGAACAGGGGGACCCCCTCTTCTTTGAGGCAACCCCCCGAGATATTGGAGACTGATATCATGTCACCCCTAGTCCTTCTGTTCACTAGACATGCCCAATTCCTGCAACTGTTCTTCACGTATTTTAGCCTCCAGTTCCCTAATCATCTTTGTGGCGTTTGCAGCAGACAATCTCTCCTGTGCCTGCCCAGTTTTTTTCTGCAGAGCAGAGAGACTGCAGAGGAAAGGATTACAAGAGAACAAGTAGGCGTGCGCACACAATGGGGAATCCACCAGGCTTTGCACGCCTGGGGCTGCAGGCGCCGTCGCCCCCCATTGTAGGCCTGCTTAGAATCCCTTCCTCTCCGTTAATTGTAAATGCAAACATTAGCTCCCTTCTGGTTAATTATCCCAGTTCCTGAGCAAGCGTTCCAAAGGGCACTGGAGTAGGACAAGGGGGAGCATGACCCAGGCACACCATTTCCCATCTAGCGACCACTTTGCCTAACAACAGATCTGCTGGTCTCAATTGTGGTCACTAAATGAGGACCACCTATATCAGATTTATGACCACTGACTCCTGAAGATCTTAGGCAGGGCTAGAACTCACTGTCTCCTGTTTTCCAGCCTGGCATCTCAACTACTAGACCAAACTGGCTCTTTCCTGTCAACACAACTTTATTTGTTGTGTCTAGCAGGAGATTGTTGTCGTTTGTTCAATGTGTTAAAGGGAAATAATGGGTTTCGTTTGATTCAGGAATTCAGCCGTTAACGGAAAACACACATTTGTCTTTCTCACTTTCAACGGTTGGGGGAAATTTCTCCCGTCTGCATAAGCGCTCTGCATCCGGCCAGGAGAGCAATCGCAATGCTCAAACTGAAAGAAAAAAAAGAAAAAGGGTTACTAATGTTTTTTCCCCTCAAGAGTTAAATGATACGAGTTTTGAAAAAGAAAAGAATAAAAAAAAGTGGCGAATGAAGAGGAGAAGAGAAAGAAGCACAAGCAGCAGCTTCCAATCTTCTTTACAGCAATTACCAACCAGCCAGTTTGGCTCCTGAGGCGTCTGCAAGAAATCCTCCCAGGCCAGAGAAGCGCCAGCCAGCAGCTCCATGGTTCGACCCTGAACGGCTACAGAGATTCCTTTCTGGGGTACAAACAGATTGAACTTCCTCTCTTGGGTCAAGGTTGTTTCCATGATTCCTTTCTTCCCCTATAATACCCCTTATGATGATCAATTCATTTTTTCCCCCCCATTTTCAGCAAAAGGTCCATAAAAGGTTTTCAGTCACGGATAAATGTTCTTGTTGTCTTTTCCCTAATCAAACGTGTCATAAAGATAAAAATCTGGAATGAAGACTCATGGGGTTTTTTTGTCCTGCGGTTCCGAAGGCTTCTTTTAGCTTTGAAATAACGATGATCTAGGCGTGGTTTAAGAAAGTGCAGCTTTAAGCCAACCCCGTGTCCTTAAAGCATCCCCTATGGCTGTGAGTTTGATGACTTTTCCATGGTTCCCAGTCACCCAAAGTCATGACTTGGCTGCAAATCCTGCGGTCTCCTCATGAGAAGCCGCTTTCCAGAGCACAAGTGGCCCATCTCTTGGCCTCCCTTATCCAGGAGTCTCCGCTGGTCTGGGCTTGGGGCTCAGCCACCGGAACTCCCTGCAAAGTCATCCTCCCTCCTTCGGACACAGCCTAGTCCACCGCTGTCCCCAATCGGGAGGCAAGAATGATACCCCTAGGGAAGATTCATAGCCAGCTGGATGTCTCTTTTTGAAGAGGGCGGCATCCGCACGGAGAACAGGGCCGGATGCAGAATCCAGACTGGCAAAATCTCTCTGGAGCACGGAGACCATGAGATAAATCACGTGCGCTCCACACAGCAGCTCCGTGGGGGAGTTTTTCACCTTTGCGACAGATGTTTATCAAATGAGCATAAAGGTTTGGAGAAATAGTATTTATTCTATTGGAATAAACAGGAAAAAGAGGTTCAAAGGGATGATTTTGGAAAGTTAAAAATAGGCTAAACGGCCAGATGGATTTTGAAATGAGAATTTGTTATTAAATATAAAAATTCTTCCTGTGGGGAACATTTGATTGTTCTGGTTTGCTGGAAAGATAATGCAATAAAAAGGGACTTTGAATGTTTGACACCAGAAGGAATCAGGAATCAAAAATTAAAGAAGAAGAAAGTTGAAATATAAATTCAAAATGGAACAAAATATTTTAACGAGAGGCTTTTATGAAGATTTGGACCGAGAAATATTGGGCCAGTGTGGCTTTGGACCAGTCTACTCAGTGCGAAGAGGGCAGCAGTTCGGGGAGTGGTCTCAAGCTGTCCATGCCCGTCAACCACACCCAATGAGTGGGGTCAAGCTGACCACACACCCCCAGTCGGCCACACCCACCAGGTCCTCACCCGCCAGGTCAACCACAGCCATGACGCAGCCCTCAATGAAATTGAATTTGACACCCCTGGTGTAGGGCCTCCTGCTTGGGCGGGGGGTTGGACTAGATGACCTACAAGGTCCCTTCCAATTCTGTTAATCTGAATCCTGAATTAATTTTAAGAATATTTAACAATATAGATAGATGGAGGGTGGGCAAACACTGTGCAGAAGAAAAAGTTACGCCAGATGAAATTGGAATTGATCCGAAATGTGGATTCAGCGGAGGCCGGCTGAGACCGCTGAAGACCCTGGGCCTCTCCTCCAGCCCCAGCCCGGCTGCCACCGCCGAGGGCTGCCCCTGTGCCCAAAGGGCAGAGATGGGGGGAGGTAACTGGCGGGGTGGGGAGAGAGTTCAAGAGGAGACAGAGCAGGCAGTCCCTCGCCTTACCAAGGCTCGGCCCCGGGAGACCAAGCGAGGAATAACAGGATGACAGAGCTGGAAGGGACCTTGGAGGTCCTCTAGTCCAGCCCCCTGCCCAAGCAGGAGATCTTATGCCATATGTCATTCAAACAGGTGTCCAGGCTCTTCTTGAAAACCTCCAGTGATGAAGCACCCACGACTTCTGGTGGCAAGCTGTTCCACTGGTCAACTGTCCTCCCTGTTGGGAAGCTTCTCTGGGCAGCCCCTCAAACGCTGGAAGACTGTGATCGTGCCACCCTTAGTCCTTCTTCCCACTGAGCTGGACGTGCCCGGTTCCTGCAGCCGTTCTTCCCTTGTTTCAGCCTCCACGCGCCTCATCATCCTCCGGGCCCTTCTCTGCACTCATCTCAACATCTAGACTGACTTGGATTGGCGTGGGGTCCTTGCCTAACGACCAGCAGGATTTGGGGGATGACGGCATGTGGGGTGCAGCCATGTCACATTGCGCTTTCCGACTGCTTCGCTTGGTGACGGAAATCCCAATTCCTGTCACAGGTCAAGGACGGCCTGCGCAGCTGGTAGCATCCTGACCTGGCAGGAAGGAACACAAAAGGCCACCCAGACCTGTCGGTTCATCAGAAAAACGGCAAGGTCGGGCTGTAGTTTAGGCTCTGCGCCTCTCCATTCCTCATTTAGCGTTAGAAGCTGTTTGCAAATAAGATGGTTAATCATCACCATGAATCGTTTTCTGACCAATTTGTGTACTTATTGTGCAGGGAAAAGTCTTACCAGGAAATAAAAGGGAGAATTTGGCTGCCGTGTGTGGCTTCCCAGGAGGACGTTTTTCCCATCAGGATGGCCAAAAGTGACTGTATCTCCTTCGCGCAAATTTACTTCGCCTGCACACAAAACGATCGATTAAAAGAGTTTTCAGAATATATTTAAAGTTCAGGGGTTTTGTCACGAAGCTCCTCTTGCAACACAGACTCACAATCTGGCACGACTGTGCTGGATTTGGTATCACAACCACCATTGATAAAAAGAACTATTAGCGGCTGACAGTCAACCAGGGCAGCCCTCCCAGCCGTTGTCCCTCCCCACGCCTCTTTGAAGCCACTGCCCCACACACCTACCTTCGATGCGGATGTCGTTGACATACACGCCCGTCAGGCTGGAATCCACCAGAATGTATTCGCCGTCTGTCCGGATTATCCGCGCGTGGATACGGGAGATGTAATTGAGGTCTGTGGCAGGCAAGTTGAGGTGGTAGTCCGCTACCCGGGTGTTACGGCCGAAGAGGGTGACGGCCTTGGAAAAGCTGGGGAGAAATAAATAAGTAAAGTGTTGGTCACTTTACTGCATGGTTCAGTTCTTGGCAACTTTTTAAGACTTGTGAACTTCAACTCCCCGAAAGTCCACAACTCTTAAAAAGTTGCCAAGTTTGGAGAACCTGATTTAGAATGCAGCCTCGTTGAGGTCAGATGCTCGGATAGTTCAGGAATAGCCCAATTCCCCACCAGGATGTTAAAAAGCAGACAGAAAAAGGGGAGACCAAACATCTAGCTGAGTTGTCATTTGAAAAACCCATTCTGGGAGAAACAGCTGAGAGAAAATAAGGAGCCGGAAAGGAATTCCTCTGGCCGGCCAGCGGAGGACGGCAAGGCGATTCTCCCTCCTTTTTCTCCCAGGGCTGGCAGAGTCCTCGCCCCGGAGCTCCTGAGCCAAGGCGGCTGCCAGCGGAGCAAAAGGCCAGCCAAAGGCAGAAGCAGCCGGGCACGAGGACATCAGAAAGGGATGGAGAGAGAGAGGGGGGCGGGCACTGGGATGAAGGAGGCTTCTCTTCTGGGCCACCGTTTTCCTGAGAACTGAAGAAGGGAACAATCATGATGGACACACGTGGATTCAATCGGAAAGACTGACGGGCAGAAATGCGACTTTAAGTAGGGGAGGAGGAGGAGGAGGTGGGGAAAATTAAACCAACCACCTGACCTTTAGGCCCAGGCAGTCCTCAGCCTTGGACCACAATTCAGCCCAAAATGTATCTTGCTCAGTGAAACATTGGCTGAGTGAGTCTGCCCCATTTTACGACCTTTCCTGCCACAGCTGTTAAGTGAATCACTGCAGTTAAGTTAGTAGCATGGTCGTTAAGCGAGTTTGGCTTCCCCCGCTGACTTTGCTCATCAGATGATCACAAAAGGGGATCACGTGGCCCCCCCTGGGACTCTGCCACGGTCATAAATACGAGTCAGTTGCCAAGCGGCTGAGTTTTTGATCCCCTGGCTGTGGGGATGCTGCAACGGTCGTAAGTGTGAAAACTTTGTTCAGTGCCCTTGTGACTTTGAACGATCCCTAGAGGAAGGGTTGTATGCCAAGCCCTGCCTGCACCCTAAGCAGGGCTGCCTGTGGGGGGGGGGACGGGACAAGGAAGTGTGGAAGCCCCACCCTGCATGCCCAGGAGGGCCGGGGGGGGGGGCCTTGGGCCACTCAGTGGCGTCCCCGCTCTCTGGAGGGGCCCCTGACCACGAGGCCCGTCCTCCCTCAGGTGGAGACGTCACTTACTGGATAACCGGACTGACGCCGGGGACCGGAGCCCAGGAGCCTATGCTGCGCAGGTGACTCAGCCGCTGGCCCCCCGGCGGACGGGCGAGCGCCATCTCAGTCTCAGGGGAGGCCCCCTTCCTTCCACTCCAGCCAGGCAGCTTCACCCTGTCAACGGAGAACAAAAAAGCACCTTCTTAGACCCCCGGAGGGCGGATTCCTGCCTGCGGTGCGGGACGAAGCTCCTCGCTCGGGTGCCTGTAGAGGCTGCCCTGGAGCGAAGGAAGCCGCCCAGCCCAGAGCCCCGTCCTGCCCGCCTCCTCCTCCCTCGGGCCCCAGCTGGGTTCTCGCAGGGCTCAACGCCTCCCCCTCCCCACCGCTTTCCTGGGGAGGCAGGGTGTGAAGGCCCGGGTTGGCCTGACTCTACCGAGGCCCCCCCTCAGATGGGAGACGGCCCCATCAGATCCGGGGACAGCTTGACTTTCCCGGGGAGGCTGTGCCGTGCCTCCTGCCCCCCCCCCAGCCCTCCCAACTCCCCAGACTGTGGGGGCCTGCAGCAGTTCCTCCCTGGTGGGGCTAAGGCAGCCTGCAGGTATACGCCAAGCCAGGTTTGGTCTCTTCGGCAGCATGCAGTGAAAGAAGCCGCCATCTGATTCATCCACAAAGCCTGTTTGCTCTGCCAAGATGGAAACAACAGGATCCCTTAACTCAGCCCCCCCCCTCCCCCCAAAAAACTTGGCCGCTTTAAG